CTGCAGGTCGCGAAGGGAGGGCCGGCCCGTGGCTCATTTGGGAGAGTGCGGTGCTGATAACACCAAGGCCACGGGTTCGGATCCCATATAGGGATGGCCGGTTGCTCACTGACTGAGCGTGGTGCTGACAACACCAAGTCAAGTGTTAAGATCCCCTTACCAGTCATCTTAAAAAAAAAAAATTGTAAGGGATGTGGAACCTCACTGATCAGCAGGGAGGATTATGGAAACCAAGATGGCAAAGATACAGAATAGTAGGTCTTGGGACATGGAGAGGTGGAGTCACTTTTGGTGGCCCAGGAAATGTCCCAACTGTGAGATGTACTTGGCAGAGTGGAGACCAACAGTGTGATGTGCATCATCATCATTAACATTTATTGGGTGCTTACTGTATGCCAGGCACCAACCTTGCACTTACATGTGCTTTCTCATTTAAGTTTCACAACAACTCCACGAGATAGTAACTATTCTCATACTCACATTACAGAAGAGGAAACAGAAGTAAGGTAACTCGCCCAAGGTCACGCAATCAGAAAGCAGTGGAGTCTGGATCGGAACCCAAGCAACCTGTACAATGGCACATTTTCCACGTTGCCAAGCATGGAGGTGTACAGGAGGGCTATGCTTTCCAAATTCTCCCTTAAAAATCACCTAGCTTTCCTCCAAATCTTCTCTTTCCTCGGAGCTAACGAGGGAGGTTGCCTGTCAGATTTCCTTTCACCCCATGAGACCTGTGCAGGTGAATTTTGTTGCCTTACCCCATGGAAGTCCTACTGGGCTCTGAACGACCTGGAAGTATATTCAGAATGTGTTGGTGCATAGATGATTTTCCGGGGAAAGCACCTGTAACTTTCAGCATATTCTTGAGAATGGTTGACTTAGAGGTATCATGAGTGTACTGTTTTCAGTCTTGGTCTCTGCCTCCCTCTGCCAGTTATTTATAAAGAATCTGAACTCTTTGCTGTGCAGGGCAGCTGTGAATAAGAGAGGTGAGGTTTCTGCCCTCACTGCACATATATTCTAGGAGTAAGGAGGAGGGCTGGCTTCGTGGGTCACAAAAGTCCACTCAGAAATGTCCTGTGGTTGGTCTAATACTGTGATGTCTCCACTTTTATATTCTTAATAATTTTTTTTTCCTTTTTCGTGACCGGTAACGGGATCGCAACCCTCGGTGTTGCACCCGTACCGCGACCGGCAACAGGATCGCAACCCTCGGTGTCGTGCCCGCACCGTGCTCAGCCAGTGAGCGGACCGGTCTCTATATGGGATCCGAACCCTCGGCGGGAGCGCCGCCCTCTACCAAGTGCGCCACCGGGCCAGCCCATTCTTAATAATTTTGAACAAAGCCCCTGATTTTGCTGTGAGCCTCACACATTCTCTAGCCTGTACCATATGGGAGCGAGGGGTGGGGCAAGTCACCAGATTCCTTAACTGATTAATTACAGTTTGGGGGAGATGCTTTGCAGAGCAGAGGATGCTTTTTTTTTTTTTTTTTGGTGGCTGGTATGGGGATGTGAACCCTTGACCTTGGTGTTATAACATCCCACTTTAACCAACTGAGCTAACCGGCCAACCATGCTTCTGTGATAGATAATCACAGAGGAACCAACCACAGGTAAGGACTTTCTGAGGCTCTGATATTTAAGGTGCAAGTCATGAGAGCATCCACAGTGAGGAATGTGCCTGGGGCAGAACTTCAGTTTAGCTTTGTTTCACGTGTGGAATATATTTTCTAAATTCTTAACAATTTTTGTTTTGATTTGTATGACTCAAATGTCTTTTAAGAGAGAATATATTTGTTAAACTTTTGTGTATTTAAGTATCTTTTTTCACTTCTTAAAATTCTTTTTCTTTTCTTATTGCACTGGCTCAGTCATTCAGTACAATGTTGAATGAGAGTTGAAGTCAGTCTTCCACCATCAAGTATGTTGTTAACTGTGCGCTTTTCAGAGATGCTTTTCAACTTTTTCTTTTATTAAATTTTTGCCTTATTGTGCTGAGGTCTGAGAATGTGTCTGCTGTTTCGAATCCTTGAAATTTATCAAGGCTCGCTGTGCTGTTTACTATGTGATTGGGTTTTAGACGTGTCCTGGGAATCAGCAGTATCCTCTGTTCTTGTGCTTCAGAATCTGGCTTATTCTATCACATCAACCTTGTGAGTCAGTGGTTCTCAAATTTCACATCCGGAGGTTCAGATTTAATAAGTGAGAGTTAGGGCCTGGTAATCTGCATTTTCAACAAATGTTCAGGGAGAAACATAATTAATTCAAGATACTTGAGTTACAGTTTCTTGTTGCTATTGTGCTTCCCTAATTTCCCCAGTAATTGCTGTTATTTGTGCCTCTTGTTTTCTTATTTATTTTAAATTTAGGCCAAACAATTAGTGACAGCTCCTCACTGTGAATTATACCTGTTATTGTCTCAAAGTGATCTCTTTGTCTGCATTAATCCTCTGTGTCTTGAATTCAAAGTTGTTGATATTAATGGCACAATCTCTGCTTTTTATTAAAATCAGTGTTTATTTCTGGCATAATTTTTTATCTCCTTTGAATTTCAGCTTTTTTTTTTTTTTTAAAAAGATGACCGGTAAGGGGATCTCAACCCTGGACTTGGTGTTGTCAGCACCATGCTCAGCCAGTGAGCGAACCGGCCATCCCTATATAGGATCCGAACCCGTGGCCTTGGTGTTATCAGCACCGCACTCTACCGAGTGAGCCACAGGCCGGCCCTTGAATTTCAGCTTTTTAAATCCCCTCTTGTCTCTCATTTCTAGCATAGAGCTGGATTTTGTTTTAGGATCCTTTTCCTTTTAATGAATACATTTATGCCAATCATTGCTATAATAAACAGGGCTGGCTTTAATTCTGCTAATGTACTTTATGGTGTGTTTCTTATTTTTGAAGTTTCTTTTGTTTTCTTTTACTCTATTATGTGTATAGAAGGAATGTATTTCTTTTCTGATAATGTAGAATGTATATTTCCTGTTTTAATTTCTCTTGGCATTTTATTTAATTATATTAAACATTATAATTAAGCTTATATATTATAATTTATCAATGTTGACCAGTTTTTGAAGGATAAAAACATCAAGTTACCGAGTATGTATAATATGAAGGGTCTTCAGAACGTTCGTGGGTAGGTTCATATTTTGTGATTTCATTTTTCCATGAACGTTTTGGAGTGCACTTATTTAATGGCATTTTTATAAAATTTGAATTTAGGAGAAATAATGTCATGTATAGTTTATGGATCCGTAAGTGCGTCATAGCAGTAATAAGCACCAAATTTGTAATTATGGTTTCCTCTGGGAAGAGAAGGGAGGGGAATGAGGCACTTCAGCTCTCTCTGTGATGCTTGTTTCTTTAAAGATATCTGAGGATACTGTGATAGACTGGTAGGGTTTAATAGAGCTTAGTGGTGGGCACAGGGGGTACACAAGATTATTCCTTGCATATTTTGTGTCATTGAAATGTTTAATAGTTTTGAAAGTGTTCCCCTTCCCCCTGTGTTGCCTTCATGAGGAATGGAAAAAGCA